ATGCTCTCTCTCTCCGATTCTCCCAACAAACTCAAGAAAAATGTGCAGGCTACTTTTTCTTCATGCCTCGTGCCTCCCTTGGGATTCAATGAGCTAATAATAAATGTGCCTGGCGCACACTAAGTACCCAGTAAATGTTGCTATTAATATCCTTGCTGCTTTTGCTTGGGGATATCAAGGCACAAGCTCTAATAGGGAAAGGGGAGAATTCAGGAAGAGGAACCCTCCAGAGTTCACATTTCCACATGTCCTGTAATGCTGCCGCCTGGTCCCCTCTTCACCAGCTGCCTCAGGAGCCTCTCAAGGCTGACGTGAAGGACTGAGAAGCGTCCTCAGGCCCCTTTGCCTCTTCAGCCACTCTCCTCGGAGATTGCACCACATGTTTTATTTATGGAGAAGCTTGACCTGGGTCACTCCGAGATGCCCAGGAGGTGGGATCATCCAGGAATGTGAGAATCAGTGGGGCCTTTGGAAGCTTTTGCAAGTCCTGGGGTCCCCAGTCGGGATGGGCAAATCTGCAGGGACAGCCTGGTCCTCTCTGGCAGTTCCATCCTCCTTCAGGAGACCACTTGCTGGCCTGGGAGTTTTTCATGGCAACCTGATGGGTGCTGTCTGCCCGCCCCAGGCCATTTCTGTGGTGCAGGCAGACCATGATGGTCCGTCTTGTAGGCAGTCAATAATGATTCAGAGAATGACAGGTGTGAATGGGCAGAGGGAGTTATCTCAGTGCAGACTGAGAGCATTCTCTATGGGATGCAGGTGGAGCTGCCACTTCCTCTCCCAACAAAGCTGGAGCCCATGGGCAGATGGTCTTCACCAAGACTCATTCATTCTGTTCATTGTTCCCTTTGCCCATCCAGATGGGGTGGCTGATGCATGGTTACCGCTAGCAGTGTGTGTGTGTGTGTGTGTGTGTGTGTGTGTGTGTGTGTGAGAGAGAGAGAGAGAGAGAGAGAGAGAGAGAGGCCACCATGTGTCCACAGGCACACAACAAAGTGGAAAAGGGTGTAGGATGGAGTCTCTTCTTTCCTTCTCCTAGGCCAGTGTTTCTCAACCTTGGCTGCACATTAGAATCACCTGGGAATCTTTTTAAAATCCTGATTTCTGGGCCTCATCCTCTGGAAATTCTGTGGAAATTCTTTTTCTTTGTTAACAGAATTTCCAGAGGATGAGGCCCAGAAATCAGGATTTTAAAAAGATTCCCAGGTGATTCTAATGTGCAGCCAAGGTTGAGAACCACTGGCCTAGGCTGTCAGCCGCAGTTCCCTCCACCAAGCCTTGGGGGTAAGTGTGGTGATATATGGTTGTAGACAATTAAGACTTTTTTCTCAGGGTGTGATAGTCATGGCCGGTAGGTATCCAGCCTGATGAGAGCTGTTGCTGAACTTTCTTATAAGTCCAGGCTGTTGACAGGCAAGGGCCCCCGGCCTCCTGTGCACTCAGGACAAGTAGGTTCTTGTCACAACTGGACCCTGTGACTGGACTCCCCACTCCTGTGAGTCTGGGTAGCCTCATCCTTCTGTTCTCCAGGAGCGGAAACGAGATGAGCAGGGTTGGGACTAGTTCCAGGTCTCCTCTGACAGGTTAAGAGCAGAGAAACAGGATTAGGACTCAGTCCCACAGCCCCAGGCCTGGGCCTCCCGCAGAAGCCTTGCAACTTGTGGGGGCTCAGTCAAGAACCATGGTGGATTACAGCTCAGGAAAAAGCCCGGTGCTGTCTGCTTCTGAGCACACTCGTGAGTCAAATGCCTTCGGAGGAGGAAATGACTTATCAGGCTCACCTTCCTTGCCCTGCATCCATCACTTGCCAAAAACACAAGAGAGCCAGAGAGAAGATACTTTGCAAACTCCTAGCTGCAAAGCTCTCCTAGGATTTGATGGAACTGTGGCGGCTGGTGAACTTCTGTGGAGGAGCTGGGGGTACCTTTTAGTCAAGTTAGGCCTGTCCTCTGAGGTCTAGAAGTTCCCCATAGACAAAAGGCTATTCTTTGTATACTTTCCAGGATCCCTTCTCCCATGGTGTAACCTCGGCTCTTTTCCTGGTGTGTGTGTTGGGGGGATGGGGGTGGTTATCTCGAAGGTAGAAAATAGTTGCCAAACGGCTGAAGACCCTGCTGCATGGTAAAGTAGCTCTTCATAGGCCTTCATGATGCAGCACCTTGCAGGTTCAAACCCCAATTTAAGCCTGTGCCCAGGGGTCCTTGTCGCTACAGTTAAGGCTGTCCTAGGTTGTGGACTTTAGGGAGGCACAGGCCTTCCTGTCTGCTGTACTTTGGGTGGTGGCAGCCCAGCACCCTTGACTCTGTGAGACAGTGGTTCTCAAGTGTGCAAGCCTTTGTCTGTTATGATTTTACTTCCGCACCTCATACAGATGCTCAGAGTCCTAGGAAGTGAAAGATGGAGGGAAAGCCACATCCTCTACTAGTAAACCTCTAACCTGACAGAAGAGGAAACTGAAGCTCAATCTCATGACATGCCCAACTTCACAGAGCAAATTCATGGGAGAAGCAGGACAAACTTCAGTTTCTCTGTGGCTGGTCCCTTGTGTGTTTTATAGTCTCCATACGGCCAGTCAATAACAACTAAAATTTTTACATACTGTTATGAATAATAATTAATAATAATAATGGCCTAACTCTGGAAATTATTCCTTAGGTTTGGGTTTTAAGTCTCCATTGCCTGACACTGGTAAAGTTAGGTTTAATGCAGCCTAAACTCCCCGATGCCACGGTTTGCTGGTAGCGATTAGGCATTTGTATGTTGGGAGTGGATTTGTCTCCGTAGCTTAGAATCTAGATTTTCCACTCGCTCTGTTCTCATGGTGAACGTGGGCTTCCATCTCCGTACAATCTGTGAACTGTTCCACGGCAATGAGATTGTCATCATTTCACTCCACACCCCCGTCGGTAACACAAAGGGCTGTAATTGATGTGGTTCAGAGACCAGAGCCCAAGCAATAAAAATGAATCCCTTATGAGAGTCTGCAACGACGCACATGCATCCAGCGTCTGGTTTTAATGGGAGCGGGAAATCGCTAACAGATGACTGTAGCGTCCACAGGGCTGGAGTCTGGCCTTCCAACTAAAACCACGTCTGATGGCAGCTCATGGGCCCCACATGTGCCCCACAGACGTGAGTTATTTACAGGACGCCCGGAGCGTGTGGTGCTAGATGTATCCCAGCAGGGGCTGCGTGTGTGATGGCTGAGGTCATGGTTTTTCATTTCAAGCTTTAAAGACCTTTGGTTTAAAAAACCCCAGTTACTCCACTGGGATTGGCTTTCAGAGAAGAAAAACAGCCTCCAAGTTCCTTTCCTCTCCAAACACTGGTGGGATCAGCACTTACATCAGTAGCCCCCCACTTAACCCTTTGGGCAGAGAAGGTCCTGTATCCTCCAACTTGCTCTGGGCGATTTTGTCTTGAGTCACAGATGTTCACTATGAACTCACTAAAGGTATGTCTGATGGGTATGCACCCAAGCCAGAAGGCACAAAAACTGCTAAGAAATTACATCAGGCCTCAGAAACAGGCATTTCGGGGCTTTGCAAGAGGCCTTTGAGTAGGTCTGTTTCTAGCAGTTTCCTCATTTGTAATATGAAATTCGGCTCAGTCCTCACAGCCCCAGCTTCATCTGGAAGGTAGTCCGGAAGGTTGTCTGGAAGGTTGCTCTTTGGTCTAATTAGCATATTAGCTCTTATATAAAATAAGAGTGGTGGTGGGACTGGGGAATAGACCAGATTATTCCTCCTCTCTCCCCCCCGCCCCCCCCCCGAGCTCTTAGATGAGGAGAGCCCCTGAACATATTCAGTCTGTTTAGTTTATTCACCACCTCTCCCAGGATGGACGATTTCTTGAGGTTGAGGATCACGTCGGGGTGCACATGGTTATTGTTCTACATCTTCCTGCCCTTGTAGGTTTACTACCTGCTGAACCAAAGAGATTAACCCAGAGGCAGGGAGGTTATTAGAAGTATTTTAAATATGCCTCATTCTCCACACTCTATCATAGATGCACTAAGGAAAACAAAGGTGAAATAGGGAACAATAATGTAAGGGATTGTGTCGTGGGCTGAGGGGATGGTCGGTATAGGGCCCTGACTTTCTTGACACAGTGATGTACAGATGGAAGGATGATAAATCCAAAGGACGGTGCGACAGTGACGGTCATTTTTCCCAAAGGGTAACTCTTTCCAGCCCTCTTCCACACAGAAAGAGCCGTCATTGTCACCAAGCCACCTACAATCATGGGCAGCAATAGCACAATCTAAGATAAACAGGCCCCGAATCGATGCTGTATTTCACAAATTACAATTTAGCAAACCTTTGCTGGTACAGAGAGAGAAGACTGGAGAGACAGTGTTACTGTGGGTGAGAACACACATGATTTATACTTTCTTCAGTTGTTCATTTGTGCTTTCTAAATTTTCAGCCATAAACACAGATGAATTATTTTGGTAGTGAAAAAAATGTAATGCCAGTTAATTGGAAATTTAGAAATGATAGAGGCCAGGGGAGTTTTTCACAAGGGGCCTCCTGCTGCCTCCAGCCACAGACTCATGCTCAGTCTTCCTCCCTCTTCACTAGGATTTAGGCAGTTCTCTCCCCAAAGCAAGAATATCTGATTTCTGGCATTGATATCAGCACCTCACATAGAACCATGTTTCTCCTTCATAACAGTCAGACTTTTCCTGACATCACACCAGGTGAATTCACCCTCCTTTCGTCGCTTCCTGTGGGCGCTGAGCTGTGTTCTTTCTTGCGATGTCCTTGCAGTATTTCAGGTCTGTTTGTCAGCACACCACCCCAAATCTTCAGGCAAGCCTCTTGAGAGGTGGTAATTGTGTTATCTTCCCTTTAGGTTCCGTTTTTTGTTTGTTTTCTAGCTTCATTGAGACATAATTGACATATAACATTGCATAACGTATAAGGTGTACAAAGTAGTGATTTTACATATGTATATATTGCAAAATGATTACCACAATAAGATTAGTTAACACATGCAAAAATATGGAATGCTGCCATAATTCGTGTGTCACCCTTGCCCAGAGGCCATGCAAATCTTCTCTGGATTGTTCCAATGTTTGCACTTAAGTTATTTCTAATGATCTTACTTGATGCTTCATATATGTTAAACATCGCGCTAGCAATGCAAAATTCCATTGTGAGAGCATCCTGCCTAAATTCTGAGACTCTATAAGGACTTCAATGCTTCCTGGGTGATGTTTACTAAATATGGCAGAGAAAGAGGTAGAGTTTGAATATGTGGCTATGACACCCATGAGCAGGCAAAATAGGCAGGGAAGGAAAGGCATGAAACTGTTAGCATCTGCCTCCTGGGTGGCCGAGGAGCAGTTGCTGCAGGTGTGGCCTGGAGGGGATCATGATGGAAAACACAGCCCCAGCCAGGCTGACTCCTCCATGAGACCCACTTATGTGACAAGCAGAACTGGAGGGATCTTTCTGAGGCACAACAAGCAGGAACACAGCCCGAGATCTGGTGACAACAGAGCTTCAGGCTGTCAACAGAAGCTCTTAGCCGGGGTGGAGATGTGGTTTGGAGGCTGTGACTCTCGGTCACATTGCAAAGGATGTGACTGCAATGGTGTGAGTGTGCACAGGCCACACAGGGGCTGCAGCCAGCCTCCCCTTGCAGCTGGCCCAGCTCATGGCTCATTCATCTCCCACAGCTGTCAGGGCAGAGAACAACAGGTGAAAGCAGGCCCTGCTCATTGTTCCCGGGAAGCATTTAGCTATGCCTGCCACCCCTCCGCATGTCCAGCACAGACCTCCAACTTAGAGCTTTCATGCTGGGAGGCCAGCTCTCTGAGGCACTGTGACCCAGAAAGCTTTCGTTCAAGACCCAGTCCTAAAAAGTTCCCCACGTCTGGGCCTGGGAAGCTACTTTGGGGCCGCTCCAGGGTCTGGATGAAATGTAGGGACAGGTGGGGGCAGTCCTTGGGGAGCTGGGGGGTGGGTGGCCCTGAGGGCTGTAGGTCAGAGAGCACATTCCTCCTGCAGGCCAGAGCCCCCTGTCACCCGTTGCAGCCTGGGGCACTTAGTATTTCAGTTTGTCAGCTAGCCTCCCAAATCTCACGCAGCACACTTAGAGTGGTGATTGTCATCTTTCTCTTAAGTTCTTTCTAATGGTGTATATTCAGCATTGAGAAATACATCCAAAATGCAATTATATTTGGACTGCACTGGTAGCATCCTGCCTAAATTCGGAGTATCTGTAAGATGAAGACTTCAAGGCATCCTGGCTGAAGTTGGCTTAATAAGACAGAGAAAGAGAACGTTCTGAATGTCAGGGGACTCCAATGAAGCAAGACATGCAGGAGAAGTAAAGTGGGGGTGTGATAATGAGTGACTACAGAGTCACAGGGAGGTGGGATACTGGGAAAACATTTTGGAGAAGGGAGGCAGGTAGGCAGAGGTTGGGCCCCCAGGTCATGAGAAGCATGATGCTAAATAATAGAAAGCGGGTGTGAATCTAAGCTGGGCATTAAATCCAACTTGAAGTAAAACCTGTGACTCCTAGCAGCAAGGCCTGGGCTGGTTGCATCAGAGTCTGAGCAGACCCTTTCTGTGCACAGAGGGTGCCACAAAAGCAGCCACACTCTCTAAAGGTGGGGAGGGGAGGGGCCCATGGAGTGGGGATGCTGGGGCTGGGGCCTGCCACTGGGTGGACCAAGCTTTCTTCTTTCATCCCCAAGGGGTTTTCTCTCCTCCTCCTTGGTCTCTCCAGTCCAGTTGACAGCCCGCAGCCCCCAGCCCCGTCTACACATAGATAGAAAGAGCGTAGTGCATTGGGACAACTTACCCCCAAACTCTGTCCACCAGTGTCTGAAATTCCTGGCATCAGCCTCATTCCTCATGGAACCACTTAAAAAGATGCCATTTAATTAGGCTGCTGAAGTCATCTGAGTGGGCAATTAGCAAGCATCCCTTTATTAGATTTTCTAGTCTGGAATCTGTGAAGTCATCATTTTCCTCTCCCCTCCCTCCCCTCCCACCTCTGAACCTCTGTCCCAAGCCCTGTGCTGAGACAGGGATCTGTATTCAGTTCAAGCCTCTGATCTTTCCTCAGGCATGGAAATGTTGGGAACCGTGGTGTCCCCTTTCTGGAACTCTGTGACCACTCTGACTGTAGCAGTGCTTGTGTGTTTCTTACCAGTTGTGTTGTAATGCCATACATTTTCTACTCACATAGTCTATCCAATAAGAGGGTAGTCCCATTGTGGTCAAGGTCTGTGTCTCATAAGATCAAAGCCTTGGGATATCTGTGTCACCGTTTCTCAGTAGAGTCAGTAGACTCTGAGTTATTATCATAAAACTGCCATTCAAGGCAACATAGGTCAGGTAAGTACCAGCAGGGCATTTCCTCCTCAGACATGGCAGGTCCTGGGACTTGGGGATAATACAAGGGTGTTGGGAATAAGGCAGAAAGAGTGCTTGTTCCGAGGGCTGGTGTCACATGTCAGGGTCTGGACCACACCCACCCAGCTGGGGACAGGCAGGAGCCATAGGAGCTGACTCATCTACAGCTGAATCAGAATCGAAAGGAGTGGGGCGGGGGCAGCAAGACTGTTACAGATGATGGTTTGCAACAGAAGAACCTTCACACTTCGATGGTTCCCTATGGAACACTGTGCCAAGGGACCTTTGTGAACACCAGGAAGGCTGGGTGTTGGGCACAGGCTTTTTAGCCGGTAAGATGGGAGCTGCCCGAAGGGCCTCAGCAGGGGGTGGATGGCCCTCCAGGAAAGATGGTGCCATGGCCACTAGAGCCTCACTTGGCACATCTCTGACCTGCCTACAGGCCAGAACCTGCCCCCTTGGAGGTGTAGCTCATCTGCTCAGGCCACCCTCCCCGGGCAGGAGTTGGTTAGCTCAGTGGATCTACAGCCTATGAGATGCTCCCTGAAGTCCTGCCACCTCTACCTCCTGTACCTCCAAGTGTCCCTCCCTCTTCCTTTTGTTCCCACCCTGGCTGATCTAGCTTCCCCCTGAGCTGTCCCTGTACCCAGTGCCTCCTGAGTCACCACACAAGCATGGGGGAGCCGTCCTGGCTGCCCAATAAACTGGCTTCAAAATAGCTTTGCTAAGCCCACTGGGGACACCCAGTCTCCTGGCTCCTGCTCCCCATGTCTTCATCACACAGTCCCAGCTGTGCCCATGGAGAGGCTGTCACTCAAAGGCCTGGAGTGCTTACTGACCCTCTCTCTAGGGCACCTCCCCGAGGTCCCTCAGGTCCACCTTCCTGGACCAACTATTGCTGTGTGTCCCTTGGTTTTCTTAGAGGAAGGCAGCTCTTTCCAGGAGCATCCTGGAGTCTAGCAGAGAAGATAGGCTGGGGGATAACAAGGTGATTTCCTCTCACAGAGAAGAAATGTTTGCTAAGTTTTAGGTGGCTTCTCCTTGGAGGAGAGACATGACTACAGGATCCTTGCTGTCATATCTGCCTTTAGTTACATGACAGCGTGGTTCCGCAGGGCTGGGACTAGGGCGAGGCAAGCAGGGCTCCCTGGGCTCCAAATTCAGAGGCTCTCTCACTCAAGTTTGTGTAATTCCCTCCTCATGTCCCTCCCTCGCCTGCACAGTCACCTCACTCCATAGTTCAAGGGAAAAGAACCTGGGATGGGCCAGGGTGGGTGCCATTCATTAGCTCACTCTCTGGTCCCGGGTTTCCCATCTGTGAAAGGGGCACAAGGACACCCATCCGACTACTTGGCCCAGTTGCTGTGAACACACAACCTGCCCCTTGACGGGGGCACAGAGGTGTTCGCACACTGCAGAGTGCCCCAGCTTCTGGAAGGGGACACAGAAACATCCGACCCCTGAGAGAAGCAGCCTGTGCGCCGACTGTAGAGACACAGAGAGCAGTGGATGGTGACTACCCCCCTTCATTTTCCCTGGGGTCACACATCTCTCCTTGCCCAGCGGCCTCGCTGGCAAGTATGTGGGAGGATAGCCCCCAGCCCGCTGCAGGGGTGGGCTTCCATCTTCTGTGTTCTTCTGGCCAGACCTTGCTCTGTAAACGTCAGGGGCTCCCAGAAAAAAAACTCCCAGCGGCAGTGGGTCAGGGATAGGAGATGCGTGCCCCCCCACCCCCACCCTGCCGCCCCCTGCCTTGTGAGATACAGAACAGGGTTCAGCATGATGCGGCCTTTGCTTGCACAAGTAGGTGCATGGGCAAGGGGCCAAGTCGCCTGAAGGTGCACCCTCTGTCCTTCCCCAACACTGGGGGCTCAGGCCAGGCAAGCTGCAGGGACTGTAACGGGGAGCCAGGTCTAGTCCCCTCCCAGCGCAGCGTCCCTGTCTCCGGTGAGGATGTGTCACCCAGAGAAGAGAGGGTGCTACTTTCTAAGCGGCAAGCTCTGCAGAGAAGTCCAGAGGCCAGCCTGCCTGGGGCCTGGAAGAAACACTTTCTGTGCCGCTGCCCAACTTCCTCAAAGAACAATGCAGAGAAGATGCTGTTTTCCGCTGGGGAAGCTGGAAGGGTGTGGCGCTTACAGGTTGTGGAGAGGTCAGGCCAAGGGCCGCCCGCCTCTCCCAGTGGAGCTGGAGCGGGCATCACTCCGCCGCCCACCTGGGCGAGCTGTAGGGGCAGCTGCTTGGGTGGAGAGGAGCTGGTTACCCCTGCTATCCGGGGCCGCAGTTTCCAATTAGTGACTGGCATGGAGGTAAACGACACTGCTTGGTCATTGCCACAATTATTAACAGCACCACGAGCATTTGTTGATTGCCTGCAGTATCCACTGTAGAATGTAGAAGACACTGTCTACGCCTTCTAGAAGATTCCAGGCTACTTACGGAAAATGCAGACCAGCATGGTGTACCAAAAGGCAGGCAGCACGGACTCTGGAGCTCGCTGCCTGAGTTTGAATCCTGACCTGGCTACTTACTGGCTATATACTGTGGACATGTTATTTCACCTCCCTGTGCCTCAGTTTCTCCATCTGAAAATGGGGATGAAGATAATAACAGGATCTACTTTGTTGAGCTGTTAGGAGGATTAAAGGAGAAAGCAGTGTTTACAAAGCTCTCAGAACAGCATCTGGCATTTTATACATACAGTTTTGGTAAAATAAATCACGTAAGTAGAATAA